TTCATTCTCAAAGATGACCAAAATGATATCTTTATGTGGTAGTCAAGATACAATGCGTCCAACTGGCTAATCAGAACAATACGAGCTCAGAATGCTCTGCCACAGATTAGGCACAAATAGTCCCTAAGAACATTTGGAGTGAAGATGTCTCTACATTTGAGCATCTCATATTTCTTTTGAGCCACTACAATTCTGCTTTATTTATAGAGCACAGATTCTTCTTTGATGCAGACATACCATTGCTGGGCAGTCGTTTGCTAGTGTCTCCCATGTCATGCAGTTGATACCATAGTTCTTCAGAGAGACTTCAAGAGTGTCCTTGTATTGTGTCTTCTGACCTCCATTTGAACACTTACCTGGTGTGAGTTCTCCATAAAATAACCTTTTAGGCAAATGTACATTTGGTATTTGAATAGTATGGCCAGCCCATGGGAGTTGCACTCTTTGCAGCAGAATTTGAATGGTTGGCACTTCAGCTCAAAAAAAACTACAGTGTCCAGTACCTTGTCTCGCCAGGTGATCTTCAAAGGCAACATTTAACTCCATTAAAAGTAAAATGAAAGTGAAACGTGGAGAGTTACAGGATTCTTGGCTCAGTAAGAAGGCAGATGAAATTAAGTTTTATGCTGATAGTAACAATCCAAAGTGCTTTTATAATGCCCTGAAGTCTATTTATGGGCCAAAGATCTATGGTGCATCTCAGCTACTTGGTGCTGATAGTCACATTAATTAGTGATAAGGACATGATCCTGGAGAAATGGGCTGAATGCTTCCATAATGTTCTCAACAGACTGTCATTAATCAATGCTGAAGCCATTGACCTAATGCATCAGGTTGAAGTCAATCCCTCTCTCGCCAAATTTCCAACTGAAAAAGAGGTTTGGAATGCCATTAGGCTTCTTTTGTGTGGCAAAGCACCTGGTACTGATACTATTCCAGCTGAGATTTATAAGGCAGACTTATACACTGCTCATACAAAAGCTAACAGAATTTTTCTGGGTTATATGGCAAGAGGAGATTATCCACCAGGACTTGAAGGATGCCTCCATTGTCCATCTCTATAAAGGTAAAGGAAATAGATTGTCCTGTGAAATCACAGGGTGAGATCTCTCTCTTAGTCATTGCTGGCAAGATTTTTGCCAGTCTTCCCTAATAGGCTGGTCCTTCACCTAGAAAATGGTCATCTACCTAGCCAATGTGGCTTCAGAGTGGACTGAGGAACAGTCAATATGGTATTTGCTGTCTGACAACTCAGGACAAGTGCCAGGAGCGGAAGAGAAGTCTACACACAACATTTGTTGATCTGACCAAGGTCTTTGATACAGTCAGTTTTGAGGTCTTGTAGAAAATTATCTCAAAATTTGGTTGCCCAGAAAAGTTCATCAGGATTGTACACCAATTTCATGATGCCATGCTTTCCTACGTTCCGCATAATAGATGATGCTCTCAAGCTTTCCCAGTCACCAATGAAATGAAGCAAGACTGTATGCTTGCTCCCATGCTTTTTGGCATAATGTTGTCAGTTGTCAGATACCTCTAATGAAGACAAAAATGGCATCAGGCCAGCAACCACACTAATGGCAAAGTACTTAACTTGAAAAGGCTACAAGCCAAGACTAATGTGGAAGGAGATTGGCACATGATTTTTTTTGTTCTTGATTTTTGTTTTTTGAGGATTAGTGACTATGTAGGAAGTGTCATCCATTATCTCTGAGGTAGTCATAATTATCCTGGTTTTAGAGGTGCTGCTCCTACTTATGGTGACTTTTTCATATTGAGAGATCAACTGTGAATTGCATTCCTCATGAGTTAGGGAAAACTGCCTGCACCATCACCTACTTAGTGTTTCCTTGCCCACCAGCCAAGACCTCAGAACCTCCCCCTTTCTAAGAGGTGGTGGTGGGGATTGGGATGCAAAACTTTTTTCCCATCAAAGGTCTCTGAGGGGCTGTTTCCTTCTGTAGGGGCTGGTTAGACACTTGAACATTCTCCTTGTGGCTAGAAAGCAAGCCCCTTCCCAACACTACCCCTTGTTTCTCCAAGCCTTCCCTGAGGAAGAGTTAAATATGATCACCCAGTGTTGTACAGCCTGTAATGTGTGGTTTATACTATAAAGCGATGATGGACATGCTTATTGCCCCTGCAGATGCCATTTCTGCCACTGGGTGGCCAATTCCTCTGAGAACTATCCCGCTATGATGTTACCTCTGGGACTCATATGTCTGCCTACTGAGTACTGTTGTCCTCTACCACTAGGACTCGAATCTCTGCCAGCTATCTCTGAGGCCCACATCTCAGCCTGTTGACCTGTTGCTTCCTGCCTTCTGTTGCCCTTGGCGCCCATGTTTTTGCCTGTCGGCCACTGCTGCATATCTATCTGCTGCCTACTCTGCCACAGTCAACTACTTCCCCACCCTCCTCCCCCCTGTCCCCTGCCCCTGGCCATGTTCCAGTGGAGGACAACTACTTCTAATACTTGAGCTCTTCTTTTGTATGCTGGGACTGAGGGCTATGGCACTACCTCTGCTGGGGCCTGTTTCTGCCCTCCTGTATCAGGCCTGATTCTTCCTGCCCTTATTTAAGTATTTATGAGAATCAGCAGTCCCACAGTGGCTATGACTATCATATACTTTCCACATTTCCTCCCACTTCCAGCCATACAGTGTTCTGAGTCTTAAGAATGTGGTGCCCAAAACTACCTATTTGCTCCGTACAGATTGAGATACCAATTAGAACTGAGGAACCCACCTCTTTTCTGGCCTTGTGGTTTAAATAGGTCCTCAAGACAAAAGATTTGGGGAAAGATAGATGGCTTGGACTCCTCTGGGTGAGGATTTAGAACTTCTTTTGAACCATTATAGAGTGTCAGGTGATAGGTGAACACCACTTGGAAGAGATTCCAAGTGGTGTTTATGGATCAGAGTGCTTCAGAACCCACTCTCCCAACCCCCAAGTTCAATTATAGGCATGTTTCTAGGTTCAAATACTGCATGCAAACTAGAGGAAGCACCCGTGGCTCTTCGCCTACACATATTTCCATAACAGATGCACTATGGATTAGTGAACATCATGTTGAACCTGGGATCAGGAAGCCCAGATTTGACTCCTGCCACAAACATTGATTGGCCATAGGCAAGTCAATTCAATTCATAGGACCCTGATTTTACTCATTTCTAAAATGGAGATGGTAATACTTGTATTACCTGTCTAAAAGGACTATTTCACTAAGGAAAGTGCTATATAAATAAGGGCGGTTATTGTATGCAAGATGAGAAGTCTAAGGGGTTTGTCCTTATAACTGGCATATAAACATCAGCAGTAGCAAAATTAAGTATATCCATTTTTTAAAGGGAAAGTCTCTTAATGGAAAATTTTACTTAGAAGGGGAGATTGCATTCATAACTCATGTTTTGTTATAATTATGTCAGTATTGTCATGAATCTCTATAACATGTCAGTATGTATAGTAGAAGGGTAAGTTCATATTTATTAGCATGTAGGTAAAAGTTCTATCAAGATGGAAACTAGCTATTGGATCTACATTAAGCTGATGTATTCTTTTAGTTCAATAAAATGTCTACTAGACAGGTAATAGAAATTATCTATTGAAAGTAATCGTTATATCACTATCAATCAAATAAGATATTACTGAAATTATTTTCTCAAGAAAAATTACTTGGAGGGGCAGCTAGGTGGCGCAGTGGATGGAACATCGGTCCTGGATTTAGTAGGATATGAGTTCAAATCAGGCCTCAGACACATAATACTTACTAGTTGTGTGACCTTGGGTAAGTCACTTCACCCCATTGCCTAGTCCCCCCCAAAAATTACTTGGAGAGTAGAAAACAGGTCAGGCAAGATTTTATTCACCATTCTGTGATCCCTGGGAAGGTTCCCCTTTCTACGAAACTGTTCTGATAAATGCATTCTTTTTCCTCCTGATCCTCAGAACTTCTTTTTCTAAGATGCCAAAGATCAACATTGTTGTTAATGGTAATAAAAACCTAAACAAACAGGGTAGTGACTATAGATGTTCTCATATCATTCTCTGTCATTCTGTTCAGGGACTAATTATGGCTGCTGCCATTTTTTGTCCATAATGTGAGAATAACTATATTATCATGGAAGTAATGGTCCCATTATAAAAAAAAAATGATGACCTCCAAGCTCTCTACTTACATTGACTTTGATTTTTGATGTTAAAAAAGTAAATGATGTTTCATAATTTAAGATACTATATTGCCCATATTAATAAAGCCAACCCAAGTTTTTAACTTGAGCTAAGCTGCTGCTGAATTACTTTTAATTTGTGCTTTTGTGCATGTGCAAATTTTGCATTCCAAGTAGACAAAATGTTTGCCCTATTCCATTTCTGTATCACGTTACTGAAACAGTAAACAGTTCATATTATTTGCAAAAATAGTTGTATTAATTTTTAAAGTTTATAAAGTAGCACTTTAAAAATTTCACAAGTCCTTTCAAATCATAGACTTACTTTTAAGAGTTTAAAGATAAAAATATTACTGCTCTGGATTAATTTTATCAACATGCCTTTGATGGTAAAGTATGGGGTTGTGTCCTTAGACATTCCGTTTTCCACAGAGGGCTTATGCAAAAGAGCATCATAAATGCACTAAAATCTGACATTTGAAAGAATTTGTTATGGTTCATTATTTCTTTGAACAATGAATGTGTCATGAATATATGAATATATACACATGAATATATCAATAAATGTACTTTGATAGTGCAAACATTTTAACTTATTCAGTGTTGAAGTGTTGTAATGACTGAAAAGAAAAACATCATTTTGAGTGATTTTATAAATTATTTTTCTCTTATATTATTTTATTGTTTATACTCCTTACAGTAGTAACACAATGAGTCAGGGTATTTTGAAAACAAGAGTAAATCTTATATAATTTATTTGGGTTATATACTCTTTGTTTGTTTTTTAAATGCACTAATATTCAATATTTCTGAAACATTTGTTGCTTCCAGGTGGGAAAGGTGGAAAGAAGAAGAAAAATAAAAACTCTTCTAAAACCCAGAAAAACAATGGATCGAGCTGGGCTAATGTCCCACTACCTCCTCCTCCAGTTCAGCCCCTCCCTGGCACAGAGCTAGAACACTATGCAGCAGATCAGCAGGAAGCTGGGTAACATTCTTTTTTATATTTATTTTATTTTTAATTTATGGAGTAAAACAAGCATTTTCATAACATAGCAAAATAAAATATGATTGCACATGAAACTGCAAATCTATTATGTACAACTTGCTATTCCTTTCAAATATATAATAAAGTTATCATGTAAATTTCATTTTTTTCTTTTCTTTTTCCTTCCCCACCCCTCTGTCTTAGAGATGACTTCCATTATAACTCTCATCTTGTGCATTTTGTCCTTCTCCTGTGTGTCCCTTCTCTGTCTACCACATATGCTTTGCATAGCTTATTTGTTTAATTTGGACCAGACCTATAATTTCATTATTGAAGGGAACTCTCAGAAAATAAACTCCCTACACCAATGCAGATCACATCATAGGTGCAGTAATAAATGTATATTGATTGATTAACAACTGACTGATTTTGCTTTTCTTTGTATCCTCAGTTCTTAGCACAGTGACTGACACATAATAAGCATTTAATAAATTCTTGTTGACTTGACTGGAAACCATTCCATAACGTAGAATTTTAGAGCCACCTGGAACAATGACAGGTTAATGATTTATCCAGGGTCACAGAGTCATTATGTGTCAGAGACGGGACGTGAAACTGGATCTTTCAAACTCAAAGATCCATTCTTTATCTGCTAGTCTAAGCTCTTTTTTATATTTACTATGTGTTATTTCTCTGAAAAATGGAACTAGGTCTTTCCCAATTCAAAGATCCATTCTTTATCTGCTAGTCTAAGCTCTTTTTAAGCTTTTTTATATTTACTGTATGTTATTTCTCTGAAAAATGCAAGATTCAACACATTGAGTATTGATTATTAATTTGTCATTAAGTAGCCAATCCTAAGAGAGGCCAAAAAGAGAACAAACTTCCTTCATCATCCCTTACAATTTTCTAGTGTAAATAACATAAAATATCATTGCTTTAGAATAATTGACCTAATAACCCCACCTGGTCAATGGGGTAAGGGAATCAAAAGTTTTTATCTGAGAACAGTAAGAAAAGTTAAAAAAACAGTTTTCAAACTAGAAAATTTTATTTGATCATCTTTTGTTTTAGCCAGAACTCTTTAAAAAACATGAGATGTATATTTTAATGGATTAAATGTATAAATATATGTATCTAATTAAATGAATTGCTTTAAATATATTTAAATTACATATATATTATATTACTTTATTATTATACTATATATATAAATATATTATTAGATTAAATATATATGTATATACTCTGCCCCACCCCTCACAGAGGGACAGAGCATTGATCTTCACTGGTGAGGACAGCATCTCATACCAGTGGGCTTTGAAACATGGATGACATATGTATGTTTATATGTATGTTCATATTTAGGATACTAAAATATTGCTCATTTTAGTCATCTGCACACAGTACATTTATATTTGTTTTCAGCACAATACAATGAAATGTTGATAGATTTGTGTAAAATCTATTGTCTGTATATTCCTAAATGTTTGTAAACCTAAATAACAACAATAACAACAACAATAACAGCTAACTAACATTTATATAGAGGTTTGTGGTCTGCAAAATATTTTGCATATGCTATCTCATTTGATCCTTACGACAACTCTGTGAGGTAAATGCCATTATTATCCTCATTTTACAAATGAGGAAACTGAAGCTGAGAAAATTTGAGTAACATGACCATAATCACACAGCTAGTAAATGTGTGAGGCAGGATTTTGTCTCAGGTTATCCTGACTTCAAGTCAATCACTTTAGTCACTACACCACCTCGTTGCCCAAGTCAACCCTTTCCATGATTTCCAAATCACCAATTCCCCTTTGTGTTACATGTAAAATACAGAATTTATTGATTTAAAAAGTATACATCTAGATTATTTTGCCAAAATTTAAAGTCCCTCCAATTATTTGAATAATTGGTTTAGTTTTCTTCATAAATGCAAAAGTTTTTTTCATGTGCTCACTATAGTATTTTATAGCCTAGTCCTGACCCCACATCCCCCTTTTCTGCTCATCTCAGTAAACAAAGAACTTCCTCACTTTCTCTATGGCATGCCTGCTGAGTTCTCCAGATTAACCTTCCCATCCAGAAATTTATGTATAATGCCAAGTTGACCTTTCCTTTTTACAAATGGCCTCTGCTGCCTCTCTCTCAGGTCACCTGCCATATATACCCCGATGCCTATATATTAAATTAATTGATATAATTTCCCCCAGATATTTCACATCTGTAATAGGACACTAAGAGGACTATCCTTCTCTTTTTGTGATAAAATACAGTGGGTGACCTTCTGTGATAAATGTTAAAGATATAAATACTGTTAAAGATATAAATAATGTCAGGTATTAGATAGGTCCTTAGAGAGGAGAATGCCAGAGACAGTGATCCAGTTTTTTGGCAAGGAAAGTTCGAACATTTCTGAATGTAAGAATGACTAGAGATAACTAGGATTTATCTTAAATGTAGTAGACAGGACAATTGGAAAATGTAGACTTGCAAAGAGAAAAGAGGGTAATGGTTACCCAAACAAAATCAAAGATGTTCAGGGAAATGTGGAAAGGTTTGAAGTATTTAAATTCTTTTTCTTGCCACCCTCCTCACCACCTCAGAGTCAGAGGAGCAAATTCAATAGAACGTACTAATGTTTGCAAAATACTGTCTCTGGCTTTTTGAAATCAAAACTAATTCCTTCAAAATAAATCTAATCTGTTCACTTAACTTTGTTATATTTAAAAGAATTACAGATTTTTCCTATACATATGAACATATTTCTTATATATAAAAACTTAAACACATCAGCATAGTGTATTTGACATAAAGCTGAGTATTGAATTTAAGGTCTGAAAATATATTATCTATGTATTCTGGAAATATAAATCATTTTAATTGTATTATTTCTTAGCTAAAGTGCAATATAGGTTATCCAATTGTCTGCATTTCATACATTCCATTTGATATATAAGAACAGTAAATTGATATAGTTATTGTGACTTGAACTTGACTTCTTTGTGTGTGTGTGTGTGTGTGTGTGTGTGTGTGTGTGTGTGTGCATGTGTCTCCTGGAAGAAAATATATTGTTCTCAAAGAGTTTTTATCCATACATATGTAAATATATACATATATATATATTATACACACATGTGTGTGTGTGTGTGTGTACCAGAATACACACATTAGTTATTTAAGACTCAAATAATTAATCATACTTTCAGAAAAATTTGAAGTTTCATAGTATTCAAGTGCTGATTTTTTTGGATTTTAAATATTACTCATTTCAGTTTTTCCATGCCATGTTGATGGGAATTGTAACCAAACTTTCAAAAGCATGTCCTAGAAATGAACTTGACTTTAAAAAAATGAAAAATGTTATCATTTTTGGATATACAGTCCTCTTCTTACTATCCTAATCTCCCCACACACACACTCCTCCCCAAAAAAGTAGAGTGAGTAAGAAGACGTTTTAAGGGAAACATTCTTCAACAGTAAACTACAGTTTTTTGTTATTTTAGTTGAATATAATTTAACTCAATAAATATTTATTAACTATTATAGGCAAAGCCTTGTACCTCCCACTCTAAAAAAAAATCTTGAAATGAGGGAAGAAGACAGAATTTGAATCTCCAAATCTCAGGATGTAGTTTTAATTTTAAATATAAAAGGTAAATAGTCTGTGGCAAAACAGAAAATGAATGCACCAGTAAGTCATTAATAGATTAGAGTGGAAGAAACTACTGGAGGGAAATAAAAATGAAATTGTTATAGGCAATAGAATACCACTTGTATTTTAGAATGACCTAATATTTGTCACAAAGATACATCATAGGTGACAGAACTGGTTTATATTTGTCTTCAGCATTTAAAAAAACAGCAACAACATTGGACTGAATCTTTTAAAATGTTTTATATACATATGCATATATGCCCCTACACCCACACACAGATATTAAAACACATGGACACAATCACAAATTTTCACATTTTCAACTTATTTCCCTTATCAGTATTTTTTTAGTTGCAACACAGATTTATGTTATTAGGGTGGTATTGCTATTTGCCACTCTCTTAAAATATATAGTAATATAGAATATAATACTTTCTTGCTCAAAGCTTCAAACTATTGATTTTTCTACTCAATTTTTAATTATAATGCTGCATATTGGTCTTTAATTGCTCAGAAGCTAGATATCATCATTGATATCCCTAAGAACCCATTTCTTGTTAAACTTTTCACAGTTCAAAATTACCATAGTTATCGTATCATGGCTCCATTGGAAATAACTTGATGGTTGTTCTGAACACACAGCACCCCAGGATGATAATTGTTCTCATTAACCCATCTTTCTGGATAATATGCCACTTGGCAAAACTATACCAAACTCTTTATTTCCCAGCATTCCCAATACTGAGCATTTTTTAAATGCCCATATGACACTAGGAAGAGCTTAGTGGTAATTAAATTGAAAATAAGTGCTTTGTTCTGTTGCAAATGTAGATTGACATGTCTTTGCTAATATTGCACTTCATTGTATTGTTATTACTAATTTGATCTTTACATTTGACCTTTAAAAAGTTAGTTCACATGCAACATTGTCATCCTCATTATTCACTAGGCAAGACAGATACTATGATGATTTTTATTTAACTGACAAATAGGTTAAATTATAGCATGTTTCTAAAAGACTGGCCCAGAGGTCTTTTCTTTGTCATAAGAGCATTTTTATGGTCATTTATTTCTTTTTGTAAGCAAAAAGAAAAAAAAATCCACGAAATTCTATCATTCAAAACAAATATATCATCTTTTAAAAGTGGAGGCAATTCTGAAAATATATAGCCTCAATTTTTGATACCAGAAAAGGCTAACTAGGCAATGTATTAAGAGGCTAAAAGCCCTCCCAAAATTTGTTAATGGAATGATCTGAATGACTGATAGCACACAATTAAGTTCTTTTAAAAAGCAAGGTACTTAGCTTCTAAGTATCTAGCTGTCAAACACAGATCAGAAATGTGTGACGCTTGTGCTGGCAATCACAGTTTCCCCTTTCTTTTTTCCTTAAGGGGACAGCCCCAAGTCTGGTAGTGTTTGTGGCCTATTTAGAGGTGAGGATCATCTCAGGTCAGAGTTCTGCCCCTTGGGTAGGCAGGTCACCAAGTCACCAATTCAGAGCCGTCATTTTACCTGGATAAAGAAATCTCTGTATTTTGAGTGCTGATAGGGTAGGAGACTGTCCAGCAGTATTCCCTAGTTCCCATATGATTTGAATTTTTTGCTAACCTACAACCCAGAGACCTCCTCCCCTTTGAAATTCTCTCTGTTCCATAGGGCTAGTCCTCTCTCTTATGTCATGGTAAGACTGGATGGCCCTACCACAGGAGATGAGGTGGGGAAGGATATATTCCAACAAATTGATGGGGAAAAAATGAAAATTAAAGAGAAACTAAAAAAAATAGCTACAAAGCTTTTAAAATTGGTAAGAGTTGTCTTATATTTTCTGTCTTCCTTCAGTAATCACATAAAAAGGCAACATAGTGTTGGACTAGACTACAGTTGAGAAGGTTTTGTTTTGAATCTTGCCTCTGACACTTACTAACTGTTTGACCTTCACCAAGCCATTTTACTTATCTAAAACTCAGCTTTCTCACCTGTCAGATGAGAGAGTTGGACTAGGTGGTCTTATTGGTTTCGTTGCAATTCAGAAATCTTATGATTTAAGTCATTCCAATTAGCTCCGTGCTATAGGTGGCATTCTGTGTAGTTTCAGATACATACAAGAATTGTTGATATATTGATTCATTGAATTTAGAGGTTGGTAACCTCTGTATCAAAATTTTTTAAATGAAACTTAAATAAATTAGTTTAGACAAATGAGTCAACCTTTCCAAAATAACTAGTTATGAACATTTTCTTTTGATTATTCAACGTAATCAGTAATCACATTGACATGACCAAAGTGAACACCATTCACATAGATGTGTCTGTAATTCAGAGCCAGGTGACATTATCAATAAACAGCATAGCAATATTCATTTAATTACACTTTTTTTTAAAGTATCAAATTATCATGACAATAAAAGAACACTTATGAATGATTATGATAAGCTTTCCCTCTAAATACTAAGCTCTAAGGTGAAATTGCTAGACACTATGGTAACCTTGAAGCCAGAATTACTCAATCTCTCTTTCAAAAAAAAACAGTTACATGAGACATAACTGACTTGTTTTTGTTACATTAAGGAAAAAAATTTGTTAAACTCATTGTATATTTTAAATATAAAAAGTGAGATAAATGGATTATAACATTAAATATAAAAATACTGGAAAGTTAAGGTAAATGGCAATTGTGTTTATTGGTACTTAGTTTTCTCATGGATGTTTTGCAAAATGTAATTAAATAAGAGAAGAGAACTGATTTTGCATGGGACTGGATAAAATAATTATGTTTAATAAGTAAAGTTTGAGGTGGGAGATCCCAGAGGAAATACAAGGCATTCAACTGGTTATGTGGAATTAGCATATTGAAGGAGTCCAAGTCTGAGGGTATTCTAGGAGTGTGTAAGAATCTAAAAATCATATTATGGAATTCCTAGTTCTCCAGCTTACAAGAGTCAACATTAAAATACAGTAACATTTCCCAGAGCTTTCTTAGCTTCTCAAGAACTTCTTCCTTTAGATTCTTTGATATGGTGAGAAAATACCGCAAAATATTTGTAATGCTAAGATTTAAAAACAAGCTTACCAGGCTGAGGAATTTTGCCCTCAGTAAGAGCGTTCAACAAGTCATGAGTAGAACTTTAGGGGAAAAACATGAAAATGTATTATAAAAATGAATTAATGTAGTACAATAACAGATATGATTATTATAGAAAATTAAAGTAATACACATAAGATTTACTATATCCAGCACTAAATATGTCAGTGTTTATTTGTTTTTAGGAGACCTGTGACTTTTTTGGTGTGGAGTCCCAGTGTGACATTTCCATCTAACAAGAGAGATCAGCATCTTTTCTGAAACTTTAAGTCATGGAAAATTTCCTAGAGCAATTAGAAATTAAATGACTTGCGTAGGGTAATGCAATCAGTCTATACCAGAGGCAAAACTTAAACTAGGTCTTCCTATCTTTGAACTTAGATCTTTCTACCTCCACGGCCAGCTTTCTCTTCTTTTCTTTATACTTCTCAAACAATCAAATATTAGCACAATACAAAATTAGAATATTACAATATTAGCACATTAGAACTGTAGAATATTAGTTTTTCCAAACACAATAATAAAGGGGCAACAGAACTAATTAGACATAGTGATATGAAGTTTTGTTGTTGTTTAACTGTCAAGATAATTTTTTTGTTTTATTCTATTTAAAAATTTCAGCTATGACAGTGATGGCTGGTGTCCACCATTACCAGTTCAAACATATTTACACCAAGGCATGGAGGATGAGCTAGAGGAAGATGATGACCGAGTCCCAACGCCTCCTGTTCGAGGAGTGGCCTCTTCACCTGCCATCTCATTTGGACAACAGTCTACTGCAACTCTAACACCTTCCCCACGTGAAGAGATGCAACCCATGCTTCAGGCTCACCTTGATGAGCTGACCAGAGCCTATCAGTTTGACATAACAAAGCAAACATGGTAAATACCAGAACAAAACAAATAGATGTCTAGAGAGATCAGTATGTATATATAATATTGAGTTCAAGGACATAGAAGAATAGAGCAAGAAGGTACCTTAGAGTTCATATAGTCAAACTCCCAATTTCATAGATAGCAAATTAATTAGGAGATTAAGTGACTAACAGTTCATTTCTAACATGGGATTAAAATACAAATTTTTTTGACTATTCAATTAAACATATATTGCATGTAGTTGGCATTCAAAAGTCTGATAAAATGAGATAACATTTATAAAAAACTTAGCATAGTACCTGGCACATAGTAGGTACTATAAAAATGTTTATTCCCTTCCACATTTCTGTTGAATTGAAATTGTATGTATGTACATATACACACATAAAATTTCTAGATATGTGACAGTTTGTGTGTATAATTAGCTTCTGGTATTGACATTCAACTATAGTTTCTTCCACAGAAGCTTGTTTAGTTTATACATACACACAGACTTACACATATACATTTACACATGCATATATGTATATTTTACAAGAAAAAATGTAGTGTGTAATAACACCAAATTTATCATGACAGCTACATGTATGTCACACAGTGGTTGGACTTGGAGTCAGAAAGACCTAAGTTCGAATCCTGTCTCAGATATTTATTAATTGTTTGACCTTAGGCAAGTGATTTAAACTCTCAATCTCACTTTAGTCATCTGTAACAATCACCTTACAAAGTTGTTGTGAGGTTCAAATTTGATGATTAATGTGTTTCGCAAACTGCAAAGCACTATATAAATGCTACCTATTATTGTTATTACATTAAGAGAGGATTAATTATAAACTCTAGGCTGCTATATTTTTCTCCCCAAGCCATAAAACGACATTAATTCCACAAATTGCAAAATTCATCCAAATTCAACCCTGTTACTATGTGCCAATGGCAGAACATTGGTAGTGGAATGATATGTCTCTTCCTCTTCATTTTAGGACTCTTCACACATATATCTTACTATTTTCTTCCTGTACCATCTTTCCTTTTCTGACAACATATCCTTGATGTTATCAATTTGGATAAATCTTATATTAGCAAAGTGAATCCCCACATCTCTTGGTTTTAGGGATCAGGAACTTGTATTTCTAGGGAAATTCCACTACATGGTGATCCTGCATCTTTTGGGTAACTAGGCTATAGGTCCTGCTTCTCTAATGACCATAACAAATTGTAAATGGGATAGGATCAGATTATCAAGGGAAATAAACTACCAAAATATAGCTATATTATTGGTTTCTCAGGTATTAGCCAAAATTGAAATATCAGTTCAATGAGTATTAAAACATGCATAATGATATATGACTCAAGAACAATTTATTTCTTATATATAATCTAAAAATCAAAGTGGGAAGGGAATAAACAAGATGGATAGATAATAGATCTATGTACATATGTGTGTGTTTATATGGATATATACACTCCTATATTTTCCTTCTTTGCATAACCCTAATCTATTTTCATCAGCATTGTCCCTCATTTTGGAAAGAAAATAATGAAAAAAAATTTCCTTTCCATAATTATGCTTTGAAATGATAATCATAAGGCCAGCAGAGGGTTCTCTAATTAGAATGAATCCATTAAAAATTAGTTGACTGCCTGTCATTGTCTGGACCTGGAGTTGAGGAAGGCAAAATCTAGTGTGCATTTAGTTCTCTACCATTCCCCCTTGCCTCAGTTTATGGGACTTTAAGCTAGAAATGACCTTACAATTGACCCCTTCAATTTATATATAAGTAAACTGAGCCCCACAGAAAGTCATAGAGTTAGTTGAGCCCAAAAGTCATAGAGTTAGCAAAATCCCTTGGTTACCTAAAAGTATATTGTTTATAGGCTGTATATTGCTTAATGTATGTCCAGTATTGTGAGAAGAAACCAACAATGTCCTGAGAATGTAATAGGTTTTTTCCCTATCCCAAATCACCAAATCTAGCATAAAACTTGAAAGGAAAATACTCTTAAAAGAAAAACATCTTGAAAGGAAAAATTCTTTGTGTATAAAAATGTCTATCTTTATATATTTTTAGAGAGAGAGAGAGATCTTTAAACCACTTGTAAATTACCTTCTTTTCTTTTCTTCTGCTCCCAAATACTCTCTGTGGTAGCTGCAGTGTGAAGGAATTGATAAAAGAAAAAAGAATTAAGAGATTTTTCAATCCAATTAGCATTGCCACTGATTGCTGTTTCATTCTAAGTGAGTCATTATTTAGTTAATTAGGGTTATCATATCAAGATTAACAAAGGCTATCAAAGATAGTAGGAAACCAAGACCCAAGTTCTTGAATAATATTGCCTTCCTTACCTTTTCACTTAAAATTTCAAGAAAATCAGAAAAAGAATTGGATAGTAGATGAACATATCATGTGAGTAAATATTTATGTCTCACTCTTATTATACTGCTAATACCTACCATTCTCAGTGTCTAAGGAAAAATTCAGCTTTCCATAGCTTGTTCAGGAATAGAATTTTTCAGTTCGCCATTTCTCAGCATGAAATTAACTTTCAATCATTGGTCATACACATGTGAACTGCCAATGTCCACTTACCCAAGAGATGATCCTACATGCACACTAAAATTGAAATTTAGAAAAGAAATATGAAACCAATGCAAAAAGAAGTAACTGATGTAATATTATCAACATAATTAAACAAAAAGGTATTAATTCTGATTTAAAAGTCTAGGAGCAAAAACTTTTGGATCCCTTTTGGATCTCTTTCCTATCAAGATTTTAAAAAAAAGGCCTCAGATATCAAAGGACAAAATTCATCAAGACTTTGAATAGCATGTCACAAATGATAGAATTTTCACTAATCTATGGTTGAGGATATGTGCAGACTTTTTGGTAATAAACAATCTTTAGCTAAATAGTTTGGGAGTTCCTGGCCAGCGAGAAACAGGATGTTTTGAGAACTACTCCAAATACTTACATAACAAGTTTTACTAGGAATCTCTGCCAAAAACTCTAATATGTTATTGCAGTGTAAAATATGAAAATAACTTGCTCTCTTCTCTGACCAATCCATTGCAGTCTAGTTGCTAAAATCACCATTATCAGTTTTGTTTTGTTTTTTTTTTAGCAGGTGAGAACAAATCTCAATTTCTCATTTAGGTGAACTACGTTCAAATAAACTGAGCTAAAATATCTTTCTTTTCTTACTCTATATCAATCATCGCAATATAAGGAAGTAGAAGGGTTTTTTAAAAATCTATATTAAATTCAGCAAGTAATTATTAAGCACCTGTAATATGCAGGGCACTCCTCTGGGTACTGAAGATGTAAAGATGAAAAACAATATAGTCTCTCTCCCACTTGACTGTGTTCTCCCTGAAAACAAGGTCTATAGTTTTGTTGTTATTTTTTGCCTTTCTTTGTATCTCCAGTTTTTAGAACATGAACACGGCAAGTGTTTAATAAATGCTTGGCAACGTGACTCCATGAGCTAACTTAGTGTAGGGATAAACTGTGTATAAATAAGTTATGTGTATAAATAAGTATGGCACAAGGTCATATGTAAATAAATTTAAGGGAAACAGGTTCTAGACTGGGGTTCTTAACTTTTTGTGAGTTTTATGTACCCCTTTGGCAATCTGATGAAGCCAATGGATTCTTTAGAATAATGTTTAAATTCTAAAATATATAGAATTAGAAAGGAGACCAATTATCGTGCAAGAAATTTATCACAATATTAAGAAAAATACAGGGTCTTGGACCTTAAGTTAAGAAGCCTGGCTCTAGACAAAGTTGATCCAAAACAAATAAGATATCACTTTCAACTGGTGGGATCAGGGAAGGTACATAGAGGAAGTGGAAATAAAGCTAAATCTTGTTGGAAAAGGACTTCAAGAGGTAGAATTTGGAAGTGAATGAGTTTTAAGGAAGCAGGGTATATAGATGTAGGTGGGAATATAGATGTTAAGTGGGTAGGAAGAACCGTACTCAAACCTACAGAAGTGGAAGAGTGTCCAGTTTGGCTGAAACATGGAGTATGTAAGAAGAGTCAAGTGAGGAAAGATTCAAAGTTAAGTTGAAGACAGATTGTGGAGGGCCTTCAATGTCAGACTTGGAACTTTCTATTTTTTTTTTTCTACAGGCAAGAGGGAGCTACAGAAAGTTTTTGAACAAGGGTCAAAGTGACATGGTCAAGCAAGCCTTTGCATAAATAAATAATATTTTATAAACTATGTAAAGTTAGACTGGAGAGAGCCTCAAGGCAGAGACAATAGTTAGAAAGTTATTAATTGAGAGGGATGGGTATTATTATGAATGAGTGAGGAAGGGATGGTAACAAGAAACACTGTGAAAGTAGAATTGAAAGCAATTCATTGTAAATAGGTAGTTAGTAAAGGGAAAAATTATGCCAAGATTTTAAAGTTTGGGTCACTAGGGGATGGTGAACGAAGTTGCTCAAAGACTTTCCAAAACAAAGCCCAGGAGAAGAATCACATAATTGAAAGGAACCTCAAAAATTCAGTCAGGTAGACAATAAACATTTATTAAGCACCTAGTATGTGCCAGCCACTGTGCTAAGTCCTGGGGCTTAAAAAAGAGGCAAAAGAACAGGCCCGGGCTATCAAAGCTAACGATATAATGGAGAAAGACAACAAATAAAGCGAAGCTGAAAAGGAGTTGGGGGATGGAGCAGGATACCTGATGTGGTGCATGATGAAGTCCACAGGAGTATAGCTGGATGAGAAATGATAAATGATTGTTCTGAGCACCCTTCTTAAATGGAAGATGTGGGAGGAGCTCTCCCTTCTCTTTCCTCCAGCCTCTTCAATCAAAGGGGCCTCAGAGCCAGAGGGTACTGCCAGCATGTGAATTCCAGTGTGGACGGACTTGAAAGAAGAGGTTTCTGAGGGCATAATGGCATCCAAAGGAGTGTAGCTGAGTTACAAATGGCCGTCTAGTCCAACCCATACTGTATGCTCACTACAATCATTGCCTTTTCTTCTTTTCTGCTCTACTCATGACACCAAGGTAGTCCCAGGTCACTGCCACACCACAATAACTGGTACTCTAATATTTACTGATACCCTTAAAATATTACCAGGGAACTATAATCAGGCTCCTTACCATTTTGATCTCCAAATTCACCCATCCTCCCCTTTCATTCCTGCATCTGACCAAGATCCAGACATGTTGCTGCTGAAACAGGGCAGTGCATGTCAAGTCTGTGGAGTACTGGGATACCTCAGCAGAAAGGTACAAGAAACAGCTGAAAGATGTGCCTGTAGACCAGGGGAGAGATAGAAGCCCAATGAATTGATTTCAGAGTCATAGGCATGGAAGCAATAGTGAAATCATGGGAGTGGGTTCTAGAAATGTTTTAGGAGAGAGTTTTAGAGATGATGGAGAGGTTCAAGAATAGAACATTTATAGACACTTTGAGCCCTGACCAAATTTTGAAATCACCCATATTAGCTCCCTCATTTTATAAGAAGAAACTAAGACCTATAAGGCTTAAAGTAGTGCATAATAAAACTAGAATCTTTAGCCCCTAACTCACTTCCAGGTGTACTTTCTACCATATCATACCACTTTACTATTATTTGGAGACTTCATGGATAGTGAGGTATATTTCTGTAACCTAGTTTACTTTTACGTAGGAGGTGTGGAAGGGAACAGGCATGTATTAAGCAACTACTATGTGCCAGACATTGTACTAAACATTTTACAAATATTATCTCCTTCGTTCCTTGCAACAACCCTGGAAGGTAGGTATTATTATTATCCCCATTTAACAATTGAGCAACTGAGGCAGACAACTTGAGTTACTCAGGGTCACAAAGCTAATAATTGTCTGATACTGGATTTGAACTCAGGACTTCTTTACTTCAGCAGTATTTTGTCAAGTGTGCCACCTATGTAATGTTTAAACTAAATGATTGGAGTAAAAGTTTTTAAAATACTTAGTTTTGAATGGAAATGGAAGAAATAATTATTGAGACTTTAGATATAAGCCACTTTCATAACTAAACTGTCATAATTAGAAAGACTAACTTTTTAAAATTTTAAATATGTGCTATGTAAAAGATGCTTTTTTCCCCTTCTTATAGGCACATGCAAAGCAATACCCAACCTCCTCAGCCCCCAGTTCCACCATTAGGTTATGTTTCTGGAACCCTGATTTCAGATTTGGAGACGGATATTCCAGATGATGATGATGACGATGATGATGATGAGGAGGAAGAGGAGGAGGAGGAGGAGGCATTAGAAATTACTAGGCCCCTGAGAGGTCAAGAGCAGACTCCAGGATCCAGTATGGACAATCTAGACAGTTCTGTGACAGGTAACAACTGATTTATCAGAAATAACTGACCTATTTATATATTTAAATGTATCACAAATCAAATATGTTTTAGCAAGGTTTATTTCATTCTATTTCTATAACATTTTAAATATGTTAATGTGAAACACAAAGTTAAAAGGGGATTTGGAAATATTTTTGCTTTGCTGCAAAAATGATAAGAAAATTCATGAATTTTAAAAAGCTTTAAAGACATGAAAGAAAACTCAATTATATTCAGAGCTTTTGAAAAGTTCAGTCTACCAAAGAAGCAAGTCTATTACATTTTTAAAAATTGACTTTTGGAAATGATACATTTTGTATATCAGGAGCAACATACAAAGTGAATGCAATCTTAAAATGCCTCTTGATATTTTATTCTGTAAAAGTATTCACTGATAAAAATGAGAAAAAGACTTCAGAATAAGCTTCTAAAGGACAGCACAATGTGTTATTTTAGAATGGAGAAAATGTGTAATTATATAAAGTATATTTTATACATTTGTATTCATGGATTCAGTAATTTTATACTTTGAGAAAGATAATTATTTATTCCGTTTTCTCCTTAGCTTCTCATCCTAGTCACAGTGCAAGAGGTTGCAACAGAGTTCATCAAAATCTGAAATTAAATGCTCTAAAGGCTGCGTATTTAAAGTTACTTTTGAAACAGATTTTAAGCCAGATGAGTATATGGTAAAGAGAGAGAACATGTATGAATAGATTCTGCATTTGTCCTTAAATAGTGAATACTTAGTACCAAAAAATACCGTCTACATATCTGTGATGATTTAGTTCCCTGAGAAAAACAAATATTCATTACAAATGCTCAATCTTCATGGGAATCCACTAATTTCTGTATTTACTTTTAGGTTGTCCTTACTATAAGAGGGCATTTAAATGTTCTCCCATTTAATTTTATTTCACTGCCACATGCTTTTTAAGTTCTAAAGATTTTACACCCTTATCTGGGCATTGCAGCTCTGCAAATACATTGAAGCTTCCAGTGATGGAAGCTGGAATGTGACAGTGATGAAGCATCAGTACCTATAATTTTCCTCTGCATCCCTTGTTGAATTAAATAGTATGCAATGCACTATCCCACTTTTCCGTTTGTCTCCTTGCCCTCAGGCCAGTCTGCTTGCCAAGCTAATTAAGATTTAAGAACTGCAGCTCTACTACTGTGATTTCAAAACCAGCTCCAACTGAAGGTTGCAGAGTTAAAGTTTGAATCTTAGAATTGAGAGGGGTGACTTATTAGTGCACTAGTCAGCTAAGCTACTTTGAATGTCTAGCCTAATCTCCTTCAGGTTATAATTTAGCATGTTTTTGCATATCTCACTAATAGGTCTGAAGCCTTTCTGCTAGAAATGTAGGGAAGGCTTTACAATGATAATACAGGAATCAATAAATTTTAAAAATCAGTTTAGCACATGTCCCTCTTTTGTTGTATGTTATTAATGGTGGAAATGATAGATATATCTATACATCAGGGCACTGTCATTTTGAACATTTACATGTTCATTTATTAGTAACTTGCAAGATATTTAAATATGACTAGGGTGAGGAAAAAATGGCATTTTTACTGTAGTTAATTTACCTTAGTATTCATTCAAATGAAGTTTTTATAGCTAAGAAAACAATCTGCTTTCCTACATTAATTTAATTTAATTACTGTCATCTATAAAAATATCCGGGCATTCTGATATAATAGACTGTGATCATTTTATCTTATAAATAAAGCTATGTCTTGTTAGAAAAGTGGAATTAACTATAAAATTTCAAATATTCAGTTAGCATACCTTTTACCCCCTGGTTTCTACAATAAGTTTATAAGGAAGGTGTGCTTAAAGTCTTAATTGCTGAGCCTAGCTAGTAAATGGATCCTCTCACAAAGGAAAATGGAGCTTCTGGATCCTTATATTCTATAAAATCTGAATGTTAGAAAGAGCAGTGTGCTAATGAGTAATGTGCTAAATTGCCTCTGTTTCCTTCAGACACTTAAGGCTTGCTTTAACAGTGCTAAATGAGGTGGGTAATAAAAATACACCATTTCCATTTGCTTTCTAGTTCTTTTAAGATGTTAAGTGCCCACAAAGAAAATTTTTATCTCAGTCTAAGATAGCTTTGACTCTGAATTTGTGTATGGTTTGAGGTATTTGGTAATTTATTTTAGTTAAAATTCTATACTACCTTTGTATTTTTGTTATTATTAACTTATTGAGTATCCTATTAAAACAGGACAGTCAAGTTAAAATGGATTCCCAGGAGCTCCCTAACCAACCAGAATCAGAGTCAAAAATTAACTAATACTGGAGGGGTTAAAAAGACTCTATATGAAATTATGCACAATTTTGCCTGCCTTTATTGCTTTCAGACAGCTTCCATATTAGGGAAAATCTTTGATATTGAGGCTGTTTCCATAAAAATAACATGTCAGTATAAATATTTTTTTGTCTCTTAAACAAGTAATTCAAGAATGACACTTTTTTGAAATGGTGGTTCATGAAGCAAGAGAAAGGCAAATCAAGGGGAAAAGTATCAGTTGCCCCATTTCTAATGAACTCACTAAGAGAGAATGGTAACCACAATAAGTTTATGTGATTAGATCCAGCTGTTTAAAAATGGCCACAGAAATCATTTAAAAACTATATTTTAGAGTGATAGTACTGAACAAATAATTACTCACTCCTCATTTGTGCTTTCCTCCAATTATAATTCTTTCACATTTATTTGCAAGATTATCAAACCCAGTCTGCTCCTTAATTAAATCTATTTAAACATATAATGAAAATGAATTTATGCTACTTAATTCAAGTTTATTCCTTTGCATTTTTAATCATTCCAGATTTTTCAATTTTCAAATTGCTGAAAAGTCAAGAACTCCCAAATTTATGTTCTCAAATTCTCAAATATAGGTCTATAATCTTACCTCTACCTCATTCATCTATGAAACAAAAAAGAATTATTTCAATATTAATTATTACTTGCTCTGGTCAAAGGGGGTTTTGTTGATCTCAGGTTCAGTCCCAAGTTCAGTAATAGGGACTAAAGTTCAAGAAATACATCTTAATGAGCATTCCTTCAGCCCATCTCAATAGTTGGATTTTTAAGTGAAACTATTACATCATAATTTAAATCCCATGGGATTTTACTATAGCAATGTGGTCTGGAGACTGAAAGTTATCTACCAGTAAAGACACTGTCATACTTAACTGTTAGAGTACATGTGAATATAACAGTTGAAGGGATACAGGCCCTTATTTTATTACTTTGAGAGATAAAGCCAGCTTTACCAAATGAATCACAAAAGAATTTGATAAAATCTTGAAGTTTTCCTTAAAGCTAGGGTACATAACTTTTAGAGTCTTAGCTACTTAACACCAGGACCTGAAGAATAGAAATTGCTACCAAAAATGATTAAGGAAATATTCAAGTAACAAAAATTCCATGTTATTACTATCATTGCCAAAATCAGTTAAATAATTTTCCAAAGAGATAACAGCTTTGAAATATTTTAAATACTCTATGTATACTTATTTTTAATTTCCATAGTTAAAAGAAAGATAAAGGCTATTTAATGTATGTTTTCATCTATGTAAGTAAAGTTTCAAAGATATCCATTTGCCTATTTTTAATTCTACATGCTTTATATATTCCTTCTTCTGCATATAATAATTAGAGAGTGGGGGCATATTCAATGTGTTTGAAGAGAATAGAACAACTTCTATAGATTAGACAAGATCTGTTACCTAAAGTCAGTCTATTGCCAAGGCAAAGGTTAATATTTGGATTGATTTGTTCAGAGATACATCTTGCTCAGATTTTATTTTACAGTCAGTTAGGCAGATTGCATTTAATAGTAAGTGTGGTTTGCAGATTAAATATATGTTCAGAAAATGGGAAACTGCTAGTTTTTGTATCTTGTAAAAATGGTAATGCCACAATTAGCAAGGTCATATTACAAAGTACAGACTTTACTCAAGCTTAATGGATCTAAGGATATGCATTCATCAGCAAGGAAGGATTTAGCATAAAATGACATGTAAATGAATTGATGACTGATCATAAATTAATTTTAGTGCTGAAGATGTAATAGAGACACAGCAAGATGCCACTTTATCATAGTATTTTACTGCTTAGTAACATTTGAGCAACTACTTAATGTTCTGTGTGCATTTTTTTCTTTAGCAGTTGGAATAAATTTAAGAATTTTTTGGCTTTTCAGCAATTTGAAAACTGAAAAATCTGGAAAGGTTAAATATGTAAACAGAAATAAATTTGACTAAGTGGCATAAATTCATTTTCATTATATATTTAAGTATGTATTGATAATGCATTCAGCTATAAAGTGTCAAAATGGTATGGATTGCTTACCATCTTTTATTTGAGATTTTCTAATAGAGCAGTTTTGACCACCCATACATTACTTGCTATATTTTATTCTCTATTAGTGCATTTTTTTTACCACATATACACTTTTATTCAAATTTTTCATACAAAAGTACTTCTAATCAATCAGTTATGGTGCTACTTTCCTCATGGGAAGTATTCTTCCTAAGCCCTTTAACAGTTTTGATAAGAACTTAATAAGTAAGATCTAAAGGAGAAAGATGGAAAGTCATAGTATAGACAGATAAACACAGGAAAGTGAAATTTTTCACAGGAAAGAAGGAAAATAGTAGGTTTTAAAGATTTTCTTATTTCATCAATAGGGCTAACCCCCTTTATTTATGGAGACAGAAACACCTCTTTCCTTTAGTAAATTATGTAGTGAGTTGCTTTGGCCAAAAGCCAACACCTCTGACCAAACCTCTGGTGATAAGCCTTCCTACACCTTATGAGTCAAGTTCTAGGTTGATCAATAATATGTTTGCTGCTGGGCCAGTACTTGAAGCTGTTGCAATTATGTTTTATTAATAAGCCTTTTCTAATTTTTTCTTCCTTCCTCCCTTTTTTGGGGGGAGGGTGAAGCTCTAGACCTTTAATTTAAACGGTTTAGAGAA